CGAGCCGCCGCCGCGCTCCTCAGCCGCCCCGAAATCTAAAGGGGTCCGTCTCCGGCACCACAACCAAATGGCTGAACCTCCCTGGCCGGCTGCGCAGCCCGCCCATTGGTCCCTTCCCCCGCCGCCTCCGCCGCCATTGGCTGGTGCCCGGAGACCCTCGGCGGCGATTGGCCAAAGCTGCTGCCACTCGTCCGCGGGCCGCCGGTCCCGCCTCCACGGCGATCAGGTTAGTGTGCGCCGCGGGTGCTGGGGGCTCGAGCACCGAGCGGAGCTGGTTGAGCCTTCAAAGTCCTAAAACGCGCGGCCGTGGGTTCGGGGTTTATTGACTGAATTCCGCCGGCGCGGGAGCCTCTGCAGAGAGAGAGAGAGAGAGCGCGAGAGATGGAAATGGACAAACGGATTCATTTAGAGCTGCGGAACAGGACGCCCTCTGATGTGAGCATTTGCCAAAAATATCTCCGTCGGTCCATTCTCCTACTTTGTGTGTGTGCGCGCTGGGGGAGGCACTTTTTCTTGGGGGGAGCCTGGAGACGTGGGTTTGGGGGTCGGGCTGCAAATGAATTGCAGGGTTGGGGGTTGCAATGCCATCCGAGCGTGTTCCGGCTGCCGCCGCCGCTGCCCTTGGTGTGACTACCTGTGCGTGTGCTCCCGCGTGTGCGAGTGTGCGTGCGAGTGTGCACCCATCGGGGGCCGGCGGGCGCACGCGCTGGGTCGGAGAGAATGAGGCGAAATAGCCCTCTGAGCTCGCTGCTCCCGTGACTCCGTCTGGGGGAAAGATTAACGAGGGAGGAGGAGGAGAGGGGCTGCCTCCTGGATTTAACAACAAAAAAAGGGGGGTTTATATTTTATAAATGAATCCCCCTTCCGCCCCCCTCCCGCGCCTTCCCCCTCCCTTTCTCCCTGTCCCTCTCTCGCTCGCTCGCTCGCACACACACACAATAAGTTTTCGGGCTTCGCGAGTCCGGTTTAGTTTCTGATAAATGTGGGCCGAGGCCCCTGGGGAGAGCGCGTGGGGAGGGGGCTGCAGCGGAGTTGGGAATGGCTCGAGTTTAAAGTGCGTCTTCATTTCTTTGCAGTGATGAGGCGAGAGACGGGGGAGCCATATTTGTAACTTTGTAGTGTTCGTGAACGCGCCCTTTCTCTCCCTCCCTCCCTTTCTCTGCCTCCCTTCCTCTCCTCCTCTTTCTCCCTCACTCTTTCCACCCCACCTTCGGGCCAGATGCTGATGTTCCTTCCTTTCCTTCTGAACGGAGGATAAATTGGAAGGAGGGGGGAGGGATTTTCGAACGTGCAAAGGCACAGATAATCCCCGCGCCTCCCCACCTAGCGCGATCGCTGCTGCAAGTTACCCAAAGGCTGCGTCCCGGTCCCCCCTCGCCCCTTCTCCTTCCAGCCTCCCTAAGACGCCAGCCTCGAGCCCTGGCGCCTCCCGACGCCGACCCCCGGCCCGTCTTTCTCTAGGGTGGGCTCCTTGGCAGCCGTTCGGCGCCCAGTTATTAGATGGGCCCGGGAAACTTTGTCCGGACGCGAGCTGCCCGGAGCTGGTGCCCGTGGTGGGTATCGGCTGGGTCCAGATTTATGCGGGCATAGCACACACGCAGCTCCGGGATGGGAGTCTGCCTCCTCGTCGCCGTTATCGGTTGGGCAGCGGCGGGAGTACGGCCGGAGGAAACTTACACGGATGGGAACTGCGAGTCTCCGGCGAAAGCCCACCCCCAAGGAGGGGAAAGGTGAGGGGGGGCTACTCGAACTCCCGTTTTTCTTTCTGTCTCCCTCTTGCTTTCAAACAGTGTTTTATGTGAGTTGGCGACTCAGCGGAGGAGCCCCCAGGTCTTGGGCGGAGATGCTGGCCGGTTCCCCTCGTGGCGCCTCCCGGGACCTGCGGAGCGCGGGCGGGAGGACCACCCCCCTCCGCCCAGTTGCGGTGGTCAGGGTTCGAGTTGGGAGTTTGGGTAGCACTGTGCGCCGACCTGTCGCCCCGCCAGCCTGTTAAAACCCGAATCCCCGGCGGAGGCAGGCCTTGCTTCCTCTTTTCTCTAGTTCCTCTCCCAAACCTGAGTGAGACTTTTGAAAACAAGATCCTTTTTGTGCCCCCTGCCCCCACCATAACGCAGCTGTGGACTGTAGACGTGCAGTGCCTTATGGCGCGCAGGGCGGGGAGGGGGTGCGCGCCGGAGGACGCAGGAGTTTCCGCGAACAATTTGCCGGCTGTTGGCCTTTCTCCGGCCGATTCCGTCCCAGCTTGGACCCCAGGCCGGAGGACCCTGGGGGCTGGGTGTGGTGATGGGGGAGGGGGCCGGGGCCGCGGGCTTCCCGCGTACTTTCCGGAAGCCCCCTGTGCGGAGGGGGAAGGGCGCCAAGTAGGGGCCGGGGTCGCCGCAGGAGGGTGAGGAGGCGCGGTTCGCCGGGCCTGCCCTGGCCCCGCTGCTAGCCAACTGCGAGCGAGATCGAAAGCGGGTCGAACCGGCTCTTTAAACTTCCCGAGTGT